AAAAGCTTCTGTATTGCAAAAGAAACCACCAACAATTGACAATGTGAAATAGGAAGAAAGGGGCTAACGGTGTAGGGAAAGTGGGAAGGGTAGGAGAAAGGAAAGAAGGGAAAAGAAAAAAAATATGAGAAAATGAAAAAATGGAAATGAAGGGTTTGTAAACAGGGAGGGAGGAGAGGGTGAAGGGAATGCAGGGACAAGGGGAAAAATGAGAACCAAGACCTGTCATGTAAAGGTACAAGATCCCAATAATGAATGTAACTGTACTGTATACCTAAAATGTACCAATAAACTCAACGAGGAAATAAAAGATCATGGGTTATGAAGTCCAAGGTATCTTTCATGGCTGTCTCTGTGAGGCTGAAATTAGACAGGAATATGGTAAGACTTTTGCAGCTGAGTCTCTTGTGAATGAGGTTAGGGTCACTGAGCAGGAGAAGAGAAACAGAGTAGGAATTTGCAGGTGCGTAGGGCAGATGGGGAAGAGAGGAAGAGGTAGCAGACATAACAAACTAAAATGAAATTTCAGAGGCAGAACCAAGTCCTATAGGTGGCTCAGAAAGTCAAGGCTGGCATTTGGATTCAGTGCAGTTCAGATAAAGACAGAAAGAGTAGCCACAAGTCAGGGTGCGATTGGATAAAACTTTCAGGCATCAACTGCAATTGCTGTTTTATGCTCTTTCATTGTGTAGTCAGGAGCTGACTCATGCTAGATAAATGCAGACTGAATAGTGAGTTCTAATGTGTGAATAAACTCAAATGGCAAGGTACAAGTGGGGTGTGAGTGGAAAAGTGAAATAGGGATGAAGCCTGTGGCTTACTGGGATGGGATGTGGTTTTCCTTTTTAAATGAATGGGCACTTATTTCTCCCTCAAAAAATTTAAAAGATATGCTTGGGGGCAGAATTAATTTTCCTTCTCCTTAGCATCCTGGAGAGGATGAAATGCACCAGGCCCAGTGCCTTACGCTGTAGGCACTCACATGCCATCCAGTTGAATAACTCTTAGATCCTCGTACCAGGAGCTTGTTTCTTAGCACATTTCTCTCTTCCTCCTATAAGTCTATATTTTTAGTAAGCTTAGACCAAGTAGCACTCATCAGAGTACCTTGGCAATAATGGACCCAACTTTTCTTGGGTCACGGACTTTTTCTTGACCCAGACTTTTCTTATTTTTGAGGACCAGTTCTTAAAATCTGGCAAAGATCAACTACAAGGAAGCTTCATTTATAAATAAGATAGATTAACCATTATCATAGTACAAATACAAAATAAAAAATCATGAGTATTGAGAAGACATATGTATAACAGCCCAGCTTGTGTAAGGCTTTTCAGCTCTTCCCAAGTCAGTACCTTTATTCTTAAATGATTTTCATCCCTCTTGCATTTATTCAAATTGGAAATGACACTTAACATTTACAGTCCTTTAGAGTCAAAAAACTTAGCAAACTTTAACAGATCTCATTGAGTTGCTTATAACTCTGTAAGACTACAGCTCATCATGATTAAGTGCAGCTGTAAAAACATTAAAAGGAGTAAAAGCATATTTCTTGAGCCATGTTAACTGCCATATAGAATAATGAACTTGTCTAATGACATTGTTGATCATAGCTAGTATTTGTTCTTCACTATGTGCTATGTTCCATGGATTAGCTCACCATTTTCTCCCAAACTATCCTGTGAGGTAGACAGTATGAGATTCTCATTTTCAGATGAAGTGGATAAGGTTCATTTGTTCCAGGATTCAGTTTTAGGATGTTGGTCCTCAGTACCCATATTTTCTTAGTACCCTCTATTGTCTTTCATGACCTTAGAAATTGTATTCGGGGAGATTTTGTCTCTTGAGCCATACTCACATTCTCTGAACCAGCCCCACAGGAACGTGTACAGTGGTGATGCAGGCAGGTAGACTTTGATAATTTTCCTTGCCTTTGATAACTTTTTCTATCTTCTCTGATACTGAAAGCGTTTCCCTTCTCTGAATGGCATTCACATTTTTAACTGTAATACAATGAGCAATGAAATTTCAATATACACTTAGGCTTCCCAATATCTGTGTGGGGAAGGGAGCCTTCTGAAAGTGAGGACCGTGTGTGTGTGTGTGTGTGCAGAGACAGAAGAACCTCAGAGGGAACTCAGTCCTGAAGCCACCTGAACAGTGCAGTGAAAAGAGCAGATGCTTAGCCAGTAAGGCCTGGCTTACCAAAAGCAGAGCCTGAGGAAGGAGTGAAGGGACAAAAAGAGCAAGAGGAATAGATTGCAGTTAGGTATGTTGATGGCCGGTATCCTCAGTCTTTGGAAGAATCATCATAATGATAACGACCATGCATGAGTGCTTGTGGTATCCTTTTACACCCAAGGAATTTGAGATGCATTGATTGTTTCCCCTGTACTTTAAACTTTTAATTTATCTAGTGGAAAAATGTTGCCATTATTCCTTTACCCCAACTGTTCTACTTATAGGTATAATTTTACTTATTTGGTATTGAATGACTCCTTATAAAATGATTAGAGTTTCTTTGAAAAAGATGATGTATATTATCCTTTTTTTTTTTTCTGGTACTTGGGATCAAACTTAGGACCTTGGGCTTGTCAGGCAGGCACAGAGCTGCTGAGTTCCATTCTGGGCCCAAAATTTGACATATAATTGTTATCACTTACTTACCTTACCTCACTGATTTTTTTCCTTTTTTTTTTTGAGGCAGAGTCTCAGTATATAGTTCAGGCTGTCGTTGAACTCACTATCTAGGTCAGGCTGTCCTTGAACTCACTATGTAGCCCATGCTGGCCTTGAATTTGAGGCTATCCTTCTGCCTCAGTTTCCCTAGTGCTGAGATTACAGATGTGGACCACCACGGCTGGCTACTTCAATGATTTTGTCCTAAAGAGGAGGCCATAGACATACTGAAATCTATGCTGTTTGGTAATCATGAAAAAAGGATGATTTTTGTAACATCTTTGGATGAGCTGATTTCTTTTTTCAAATGTTTTCTAAAACATTTTCTAGTTTGTCTTTCTTAAGCTTTGACTGTATGACAGCATTCAGTTTTTGTGCCTGTGGAAGAGCATTCTACTGCTACTGCATTTCTCGTGGTTTCTGATGCCATTGTGACCATATTGTTCTTTTCTTTTCTTCCAGAGAAACCTTTTTCTTTCTTGCTTTAGTCTTTTACCCCTAGGGGAGTGAGCAGAATGTGTTGACATTGTCAATGAAACATTAGTTGCTCCAAGTAAAGCCCCATAAACTTGGGAGTCTAGATTGGCTTACGAACATAAAACATGCATTCTTAACAATACCTAGGGTCATAAGATACATGAGAGAGAGCCCTCAAACATTTGGAGGTAGTGTTTATGGCTCAGTGGTAGAGTACCTGGTCAGCACGCACAAGGCCTGAGGTTTGATGCCCAGTTCCACAAAACACAACATCTGGAGACGAAGATAGTGACACAATCCTAACTTTATAAGTGCTACTCAATAGATACCTATTGGATTAGAAACAAACACAGGGTAGATGTCACAGTATGACATTTGAAGTACCTGTCATGGTGTAGAATTTGAAGTACTTCTCATCTTTAGAGACTGCATAAACAAATATAGAGAGAAGTGGTTGAGCTAGACCTTATTAGAAAAAAGAGATGCTGACTGGTGGCATTAGTATTATTACTATTTTTTTGAAGTTAAAAAAGTGGATAAGGCAAAATATGTAGTAAGACAAAGTAATAATTTAAGTACAGTATTGGAAATGGTGATAGACATGGAATATGTCAAGAAGTAGAACATGTTGACATGTACCTAGTCTCAAGATGTAACAGTCTAAGGAGAAAATATATTTGTATTTTTTGAGACAGGATCTCATTATGTAGCCCAGGCTGGCCTTGAACTCCTGGGGGACCTTCCTACCTCAGCCTCCCAAGTGCTGGGATTATAGTCATGTATCACCGCACCCATCTTGAAAACAATTTTAAATGGTAATATGATAAAAATAAAATAGAATTGGAGAGGTTGCCCCTGGAACTCTTCAGAGGTTATTTTCTTTGTAATGTTCTGAAGCTTTTGCTTTATAGTTAAAAAGAATGATTTTTGATTTATCCCACCTTTGATGGAAGAAAGGTTTTTTAGGGTCCTAGGGAAAGAAAAATGGAGAGTATGAGCTTGGCCAAGTCCCTGAGGGTATACCCTTGGTCAGCTTTCGGCCCTCCAGTGGTGGAGTTGCTGGCTCCCATGACACCTGATAAGGCAGAAAGGTAACTAACCAATAAGAAGCAAGGTGTTACTGGAAAAATGAAGTTCACGCACCTGATTACTAATTAATCAGGCATGAGAGCACCTTGTAGATGCATTCACTATTTAATTATAGCAGCCTCTCTTGGCAAAGGAGCATATGTTCCCAGCTTAATCTACGGGTTTATACTGACATCAAATTGTCATTATCAGAAAGAATCAGGGCTTTTGATTATTTCCGCTAATTTATTGAACTCTTAAAATTAATGAACCCCAGGCCTTTTAAGTGTGTTCAGTTGGTTTGGAAGATGGGAGGAGAAAGGCGGATGGGGAAGAGCCTTCATTGAAAGGACAATTTGTTTGGATAAAGGTAAAAAAAATATATTTCATGGGTGATGTGAACTGCACCAGTGAAAAACACAAGAAATCTAAAAACTGAGCCCACAAAATGATAGAGAGGAAATAGGATGTGAGGTATGGCTTTCTGGACACCACTGGCCTCCAAAAACATATGGCTAAATGGTTCCCTTCCTAACTATGTGTGTGCCAGTACTCTTAGAGAACCAGAACCTCGCTGCAATTAAGCTGTCTTAAATAAAAGCAGTAAGAATCAAATATTAGAAATCAATTGTTAAATTAACTAACAAGAACTTCTCTTTATGGTGAACATTTAGTTAGGCTGAGGAGAATTTTATATAAAGCCATCTTTCTCACGAGTTAATATCATTAGCATTAAGATGACTTTTTAACACCTCCGTAATGTAGCCTTTTGTGTTCAGTTTCAGGTGAAGATCAAGTTCAAGTGACTCTCCAGGTGAAGGAAGGCGTGGTGCCCGCAACTATTTCTGGTGAGTATTAACTCACAAAATAGAAGCCTGTGGCACAGCAGAATGTCCTCTAGTGGTTACAAGTTCATTCTTATCATGTTATTTATAAGCAGGCAAATTCCAGCCCTGCTTTTATGCTTGAGAAATCTATCTGTGCTACCCTATAATTAAAATATGTGTCTGCGTGTCAAAAAAAGATATAAGGGTTCATTTATTTTTTCAAAACAATAGAAAGTAAGAATTGAAACATGTAAATAAGCACACTTCATAAATTATGGACCATATGTGCACATAGGACTGAGGATCTGCAGATGGGCCATTAGACCCCCTCCAAATGGAAAGCAAAATCCAGGGTATCTCTAAACTTTAATTGTTCCTGGTAATTTCAGGAAATCAGTATAAACAAATCCTATCCAAAAGTCAGATGGTTCTGTGAAACCTTTCTAACTCCAAAAAACAAAATCCTCAAAGAGTAAACATCTCGTAACTGCTTTCTAATGTATGTCATTGTTTGTTTTTGTTTGTCCTGAGTCAGTTTGCAGAAGGAATAAATCTTTTCCAAGGCAGAGTTTTCCTTTGATTTTCAATGCCATGTTTTTGTGTTAGGTTGAGCAGAGTCCCTGCTAATTAGAAAATGATCTAATGATTCTTCCACTTGAATTAATAAATAACAGAAATAATAGTACTAGATAAACCTGTAAACTAGAAGAACTAAGGATTTCTGTTCTATACTTACTATAATAAGAAGAGAGCAATTCACGATTATATTCTTAACAGATTCTGAACTCCCTCAGCACTGAATTCTTTGTATTTCTAGACTGCAATCCCTCTTTCTTTCTTTTTAAAATTAATTTTGTTGGTACATTTTAGGTATATAATATGACAGCATTCACCATTGGGAATTTGTACCTTTACATAATATATCTTGGTTCTTATTTTTTTCTGCATTCCTCTGCCCTCCCTATTTACCAAGACTTTATTTCCATTTTTTCCTTTTCTTGTATTTATTCCTTTCCTTTCCCCTACCCCTCCCTCTTTCTTCTTATGGTTCTATGTTCATAGAAGGCTCTGAGTTGGGGGATAGGGGTTACAACAATGGGCAAGATGGAGTGGCCTTTGGCTACATGGGGTTCTATTGTCTCTTGGGGATGTCAAACAAATTATTTACTAGTTAATTAATTAATTATCTTTAAAATGATTATTATCCAGGAAGAAATATCCTACAATTTTCAGTACATGTTTACATTATTTGCATGGAGTTGGCACATGTACATAACACCTTCACACCTTTTTTTCATCCTCTTTCCCTCTGTGTGCTCCACCTTCTAATTTCCTTCTCATTTGAGACAGATATGTCTCCCTACTTTTCATTATTTAACTTTTATTTTGCTCTTTATTTGTAATTTGGGTTTTTAATATAACAGAAACCGTTCAATATTTATTTTGTAGAGGACATATCTTTTTGATAGGCTCTTGTGCCAGACCACCTTAAGGAATAATGGAATATCTCTGAATGACTATTTCTAGCTCAACAAGCCATTATTAGAGTGGTATTGCCACTTGCACCTATTATGGAAATTTTTGTGTTAAAGACTCTTTGGAAGGCTACGTTGAGTGGCCAGCATCCAGGAATTTCCAGAAGGAGTCAGTATAATTGGGAGATGCTTCGCTTCCTCTGTTAATTACAACATACTGAGTAAATACAAAGCTGATCTTTTATACAGTGGTAGAAGTATAACAAGGGGAGGCAAGTTATGGGCCTCCCTCTCTAATTTTCTTTATTTTACAAATGAAGTCATAGATGCCAAGAGATTAAACTTATGTAAACTTATTGCTAGTCCCTGGTTGAGCCTAGGTAAGAACTCACGTGCCCCAACTCAGTCTAGTGTTCTTTCTGCTACACCATGCAGCCTCCAGAGCATTTACATTATTTGGGGGAGCATTTTTAGTCTATGGGTTAAAGTAAAATCTATATCCAGTTTCCCTATCTTATGTAGTTTGAAGCAGAAAAGTATTTCAAAACACCAGAAATTATGGAGATAGTACATTAACACTCCTTCTGTAAAATTCTCGAAAGACCAATCTCCTGATGTAGAACCACAAAATGTAGAGCAGATGAAGAGTGAAGACAGAGAGTCATATGAGGGTTGTTCATGCTCGAAACCACCTCAAATTTTGGCTGCTGTTGAGTGGCAGGTGTTTCTAAAGAAGCACAGTTCAACTGCAAGTGTTGGTCCTGAATAAAATTCATTGTACTTCAGTTTAAAGGTAAGTTAAACTAATGATTGGGAAGACAGATCAAATGTTGACAGTCTCTATTCTTAAAGCTGTCCACTTCTCAAGGAGATTTTTGGGAGATTGGACTCAGCATCTTCCTGTCCTCACCTCTATTACATTCTTCAACACAAGGCAATATGGTTCCACCTAAACTATTCCATGAGAGTGGAACCACTCTCATCCTATTCACCTATGGCCATATTGTCCAATTTAACAGTTGTATTTAATCCTCTGTCTTACCAGAACTTTGCTTATTAACTAGGTTACCTCTCCTCTCTGGAGTTGCTTTATTTCTGAGGCTTAAAGAGAAGGCAAACAATAAATGTCTGACAGCTTCTTCTTTAACCCTTATTATTTTCTTTTTCTTTCACCAACTTTCAATGTCAATAATAGTCATTTAGAAGCCTAGTATTAACTATACAGAAGTTGAACAACTTTAATAAGAGATGGAAGCATCTTCTTCTCTGAAGGTAGAGTGTATAGAACATCAAATTGGTACATAACATTCCTTCATTAATATAGTTACTTAAGGTTCAGTTTATTAGATTAAAAATAATTGGGCCCTCCTATGAACTAGAATGAAGATGACATAAGTGAAGAACTATTGTTTCCACTATCTGTGATACAAAGTTTAAATAATCATGGGTTTCTGAGGTTTGGCAATGGGCATCAGAAACATCATGTCTGGCCAATGAATACCGTTATTGTATCCCTGTTTTGATATTATAATGTTAAGAAGGCAAAAGTGGAAGAAAATTTAGGAACCTATAACAGTATTTTTTATAAAACATGTTTCTTTCTAGGCTTATTGAAGAAATTATTTCCATGGTGTGCAGTTTACCTTGTACTCACTAAATTGCACATGATTTCTGCTTGGCCACAATCTATGTACTTTAAGTATGCTAGGGCTCTAGACGATAACTGCCGGGAACTGGGTCTGGTAGAAAGACTGACTCAGTGTTCCCTGTCATTCTCGCATCAGGCACTTTCTCTTCCATTTAATCCTGAAGATCATTAGTTATCCTTGGAAATTAAAATATAACCTCTTGGCTGATTATGGGAGAGCCTAAGTGTCAAACATTGGAGATTAAGTAATTACAGATTTTAATATATAGGCTATTATGAAGTCACTAAAATCATGTTTCCAATGAGTTAACAATGTTAGAAAATACATAGGAAAAAATGGCTAAGCTAAGCAAAATCACAACTGGATGCAAACATAGGAACTGGATAATATATAGATATCTATATCTTTATCTATAATATATATATATAGATATAGATATAGATAAATATATAGATATCTATATATATGTGTGTATATATATATGTATATATATATCTGTATACATATATATATGTATACAGATATATATATACATATATATATATATATATATTTGGTACCCAGGAAGTGATTGCAAGGCAGATGTGATGCCATTGAGCTAAATCCCAAGCCCTGATAGAATCTTAATTACATAGAAATACAGAGAAATTCTAGAAGGAAACACAAATGAAAGGTTTCCAGCAGTTATCACTATGTGGAAAGATTATGGGAAATTATTATGTTGTCTTTTCTTGCATTTTACAATTAATTCATAATAGGAATATGTAATATTTATAACAAACAAACCACAAATGTTTAGAAAGATTAATATATGTTTTTCCCAGAAGTGGGAGGTATCTAAGGGTTGGATAATTACTTGCTTTCTAGCTGATAAATATCTTTATGGAGTCTTATGTAATCTTAAAAAAGTATCTGTTTGAGGAGGTAAAAATACCACCTCTTCCTAAAATAAGAAGAGAATTTGGAAATTATTATAATGAATTGGATTTTCTTTATTTTCTAGCTTTTACCTCTGTGCCTAAATCAACTTTAAAATGGTCCTTCCCTGAAACATGGAAAGATGTTGAAGAAGGCTGGGGAGGATACAATCATACCATTCCAGGCCCTGGGGATGATGTCCTGATTTTACCTAGTGAGTAAAACAACCTATGAGATTAATTATAGGTAGATTAAACCAGGTCTAATCTGATTAGAGATTATGTTTAATTTTATGTCGTACAACACAAAAAGAGAATAGAAATATATAGACACTTATTTGTCACTTCCCTTTTTTTTTGGAGACTGATATAGGAGAAGAATTTCATGGCTCAGTGACATCCAGGACAAGTAGTAGTCAACCTTTATTAAAAGTGAAACAAGTAAGCATCATCCTAAAAGGGGTTCAAGTAACTACTAGTTTTATAATGTTTTTCATGTGTCAGAAGAACATTTACACTTTCTAGTATTAAACTCAAAGACACAGATGGTATGGAAGAAAACAATTCATAAACATCTATTTTCTGTCTTTGTGAATTTTTACATATAAGGCTGAGAAAAATGTAAAGCTGTTGTCATAATTACTCAAAATCCTAGAGAAATAAAGTAGAAAAACATCTATTTGGGCCAGAATTTAGCTCAGTGGTTCTGTGCCTGCTGGGTAAGCATAAGGTCCTAAGTTCAATTCCCAGTACTGGAAAATAAAATCTGTCTGTCTGTCTTTTTGTCTGTCTATCTATCTATCCATCCATCCATGTATCCAGAATTACACCCCAGTATGTGCAATACAGAAAAGTTCTGGCAGACCTATGGTATGCATACCACAGCAGGCTGTATCACTGAAAGCTCTAAAAGGTTTGCCATCGCTGATGTAGAAGAAAGGTAATTCCTAAGATATATAGAAACAAACACCCATACTTAAAACATCTTTTTTACTTAAAAGTGATTTTTTAATAAAAGTCCTAGAAGAGAGGCGTGAAATTTAGCTCAGTGGTGCCACACCTGCCTCACAAATGTATGGTACTGAGTTCGATCCCCCCGACACCATATGAGAACAACCACAACAAAATAAGTCCTAGAAAAATTTCACTGGCCTAAGATGAAAATTTTTTATAGAATAAATATATTTCCTCCCAAAGCCCAAATTCCATTAAATTCCACTTATGGTTTAATTGGTACCTCTTAAGGTAATGGTTCAAATCTCTTTGGTCATCCATGAAGTGATAATGATAATTTCAATTTATTGCACACTAGCAGTGTACCAGGAACTCTTCCTCATGTCCTGATTTAATCCTCACAATGACATTGTGAGGTAAGCAGTATTACTATCTTCATTTTTACAGACAGAGAAACAGAGGCACAGGACAGTTAAATAACTTGTTCAGGGTCACAGAGCTTGAAATTCAGCAGAGTTAAGATTTGAACCCAAGTGATTTGATTCCAAGTCCTTATTAAGCAATAAAGTACATTCACTTTCTTAAAGGACCAAAATAAAATAAAAAGTTATATTGTTTGCTTTATGTACAGTGGCAGAGTGAAAACTGAATAATACAAAAATACACTGGCCTTTTACTAGAGATTGGTTTGTGTACAGGAGATAGGTACAGGTTGCCAAGCCTTTAGTAATTTTTAGGGCTTTGATGTTAAGGCACAATCTCAGCCATCTTGCTTGGTATTGTGATTGATAATATCTGTTGCATGTCTCAGATCCTGGGGCCCCAGAGTTCTCCATTGTCCTTTACTCTTCTGTTCATGATCTGCTCAAAGAAAGAGGCCCAGGCTCTCCATGAACTTTCCTTCTGATAGCACAAACCTAACCTGTGGGGCAGAGATTGGTAGCAGGGAAGTGTGTGTTCATGGACATTGATTATAGAAAGTACCTTTAATTAGCCCTTCAGTGTTTGTGTGATGATTAGGGAAGTACAGATTTTTAACATATCCAGTTACTGTTCATTATTTTTAGTTTTCAGGTGAAAAGATAGGTGAGTGAGTGTATAGAATGGGATCCTTGCTCTGTGCCTGTTTCACTATCTTTTTCTCTTGTTACCTTTCTTCTTACCCTGCTATTGGCCAGTGCTGGAATCCATTGTGCTGTTCAGGTTTGTATCTTATGCAGGAACTGCACTGCTATACTTTCCCTTCTGACTTTTGGTAAATCTTAACAATGCTTCGACTTACTTGTTTGGGTAGAGTCTCTACCCTCTTTCTACTTGTGGCTTTGCCTCTCTCTGAAATCTTCACCTTTGTTGGGCTTTCCTTGTTACCTTCATTTCCAACCTTCTTTAAATCAAGTTTGCTCACCTGAGCTTGACATATGACAGATATTCAGGAAGTGTTGCTTAGATAAACTTCATGAGCCCAATGATGTCATCCATAATTTAATAACAAAAGTAAACCTTGACAAAGTATAATTATAAGACTTTTTGTGTTTGTAGAAAATAATGTCTTATCTCTTGAACAGCTTCCTAAGAATTATGAAATGATTTTGATGACAGGGATAGTAGCAAGTGTCACTTGAATGCTCTGTGTGTGCTGTGCACTATGCTAAATGAGCTACATTAATTTTTCTCACTTGATACAACTATTCTATATGATAATAGGGTTTATATTCACATTTTTAATGGATGAAGAAACTCAGATGCAGAGAGGTTATAGAACTTGCTCAGATAGTAAGTAAAGAAGGCTGAGCAGGAAATCAGAATTTGGTTCTGAGCTCTTTAGCATGTCTTCTTTTTTTTTCTTTTAAATTACCATCTCTACTTGCTTTGATTGATAGAAATCAGGTACATAATTTACTAAATTTATACTCCTGTGTTTAGTGTTTGCATTAATTCCTTAACTAGGGATAAAAACAAAAAAAAACACTACCTATTGAATATGTATAGATGTAAGATTCTCTATTTGAGGAATTTAATCTCATCATACACCCTTCGAAAAACTGGAGAAACTTTTCAAATAGATATCCAATGCAGTGAAAATAGTATGAGTCTTGCATCTAGCAGCAAATATAATTGTGTTGCAAATGAATAACCCTTTCCAATTGTGTTTAATAAATATTTGCTGAACACTTCCTGTGTTCAAGGTACAGAACCAGGTATGCATAATCTGGATGCCAAAGTCAAGTTAGATACAGCCATAACCTCAACAGTTGGTGATTTACCTGGGTTAATAAAACACACAATGCAAACTAATACAACAAATAGACATAATAAACACAGAATAGAATCATATTGTCTCACATGAGTAGAGGAGAAGGTGCTGCGTGGAAGAAGAGACAATTAGACTCTGAAAGATGGGGTTAAGAATTTAAAGCACAGTTAGGAGACAAAAGGGGATATCGGGAATTCCTTAGTGAACATAGGATAAAACTGGATTCATGCTTAGATTCTGATATTTACCAACTGTGTAACATTGTTGTAAAGGCTTCTGACCCTCATCTTTACCACAAAGGCTATAATTAATATATATCACAATGTTAGGAAGATTAAATGAGATAGCATCGGTGCACTTGACCATCACATAGAGTATTGGAGGTAATAGAATTACATATGAAAGCTGTGATTTGTAATGTATCAGGTGCTCTTTTCCTTCGTTTTTTCATCTGGCTGCCCCCTTGGCCTCTAGTATTAGCCACACTTTGTATTTTCTTTCCAATGGCTTATTATTTAATTTTCACAACATCCTTGGGAGCTAAATAGGTAATAACTATTATTACAGTAAAAACCCATTTTTACATAATACGATTTTAATGGAACTGCTGATTTTACAAAATGAAAGTGACTGGTAAAGAAGATTTAAGTGATACTTTTGAACCTTTAATATAATTTTATGGTGTTTTGTGTATTTTAATTCATTAATAAAGGAAATGTGTAGAACATTCCCATCATTATTCAAATAGAATAGCATAATTTTTCAATAAAATTCGTAGGGTAAATTGCCTCTTTCCATTTTCTGGGAAATCAATTTTATGGAATGACCTCAGACCCATTCTATTCCATAAAAATAGGACTTTACTGTACTAATAAAAGATATCACTATCTTAAGTATGGTACCATTTTCCTTCAAGGCGTTCTATCTTTATAGACATTGGATTTTGAAAGAGCTATAAATTTTCCTCCACAGTGTTATATGCAATAGGCTGGGGGATCATATATACTTTGCTCTTGTGATTTAGTTTATGGTAACTTTGCTTGATACAAACAAGCATATCTGACTGTCTTTCCCTTCTAAATATTGCAAGAATTGACCCAATACAGTCTAGATTTTCTAATTAGTAGGAACATGTTCTATCTGACTTACTATGCAAATTTCACACCTCCATAAGGAATAGTTGGTCAACAGGCAAGATGATCTCTCTAGTGTTTCTTTTGTGCATTTTCCTGAAATGACCAGAGAGGATTCATGTAAGACACATTCACTCCTTCCTATGAAAGAATCTCAGTCTTGGCAGGATAACACCTTTTTTGCACGGGCCAGGCTTAATGGAAGGAAAATGTTTTATATTTTCAAATGAAAGGATTCTGTCTTGAAGAATACAGATATGATATCATGTAGCCTCCAGCATTTTTTGATGTGTGTGTTGTGGTAGAATTCATTTTTCATTTTCTTTATTACTTTGAACTGTACTTATTTGAAGAGATGAATGGGAGAGTACTGTTTTCATTTTATAAGGGTTCTTCTGTTTGTTCTGATTTTCAATACTTAGGTATTTTAAGTGGCAGAGAGGCTCATCAAAGCCACGTGATATTCAAAGATGGCGATTTTTAATACATTTCCTTCTTCAATTATAGTGCATTATAACATATGAAATATAAGGCAAGATGATCAAAAATCAGGAAGTACTTTTGAGGAAAGAAATTTCTATAAATGCAATTTATGGTTGGGTTGATTTACCTTTTTATCTGGGATTATATCTAATGTAGTATTTACACACTAAATACTATTTACACACTATTTGGTGCAAAACACCAAATAGAAACAAAACATAAATATTGGCGTTCTTTCTGTAGCTGGAGTAGTTTTCTTAAGTTTGTCCTTATTCCATCTGGATGGAACACAAAAGCCTTATAGACCACCAACCAGTTATTCTTTATTACTAGCAAATTGGAGGGGAAGAAACTTAGGTTTGAATTAGTGGCATTCTTTCTGTGTTGCATG